GTGCCAGTTTTAAATGTATTGCTTCTGAGCCCCAAATTCCAATGTCAGGGTGGGCTCCGTGATAATAGTTGGCGTTCTTCTGGGCCAGTCTTCCTAGCAGAAGCGCGATTCCAGGCTCTGTTGGAAGAGGGCACCTGAGGGCCTTTGCAGGTGGGAAGGTGACTGTCACTGGCTCAGGCTGCTGTGTGGTGCTGGTGGGTAAGCAGTGAGGGGGAGAGGATATCCAATGGCCTCCGCTTCAGCCATGCGCCCAGAATGCACGCTGTCTCCATGACCTGCACCCCTGACTTGCCCTGGGGACCACCTTTCAAGACCCTGCCAACGGGAAAACAGCACGCTTGGCCTCCAGCCGTCAGAGGTCTCCTGGCTCCCTTGCAAGTCAACTTGCTCACGTTTCCCTCCTGGGTCCCTTTTGGCCGTGGAGTACAGCTGGTCACCCGAATGTACTACAGGTTTCACACTGCAAAGGCAGGTTTGTGGCAGCAACTCTGTAGCTCCCGGAGCCCCAGATATCTATGGAAATTTTGCCGACCCCTGTTGTGCTTTATTGGTGGAAACAAAAATAAGAATAAACACAAAGCATCTTTTTAAACAACTCCTGTTGCTCTATTTGTTTTTTCTCTCCATAAAAGTGATATTTTCATGTCATACTTTACTTTCATATGTTACCCCTCAAGTCTTTTAAATGAACATGTATTTTATGGGTAAACTCAGTACAAATAAGGATTTAAAAGGACCTCCTCCTGCGATCTGGGTTACTCTGCAAGAAGAATGGTCCTAGAAACAGATGTTGGGTTTGTTCTCTACCTGTATTTTAATTCCCTCCTCACATAAGGAAGTCGATAGATTTTATTTGAAGGTATGGGTTTGCTTTATAGTAAGTTCTTAAATATGGCAACCTTTATCAACTCACTGTAAAAAGCCAGGCCTTTGTGAAGATAATAAGCCCTTTTCATTTGTCGGTGGTATATTTCATGAAACCAGGCAAGATTTCAGAGATAAACTAAAGTTCTTTCTTTCCCCTTGACCTGCTGTAACTTTGGCTGTCGCCTTCCTTGTTCCTTTATCTCACTCCCCAGTTTACTGGGGCAAGGTTGCTGGGTGCAGTGATAATGAATAGTGTAGTTAACTCTTCTTTTTTGGACTCTAATTTTTCCTAAGATTCAATGAATATAAACACTATAGCATTCTACTTTTCCTCACAAAATATTGGTAAAAAAGATCCTTAAATCATTTTTTGCATCTCACAGTTTTTTCTTTTTTTTAATTAAAAAAATTGGTTTTTTTGGCTGTTGAGATCTTTGGTTCCCCAACCAGGGATCAAACCAGCATCCTCAGCAGTGAAAGTTTGGAGTCCTAACTATTGGACCTCCAGGGAATTCCCTCACATCATTTTTATAGTGTTAAGTCTCCTACATATCAGTTACTTATCTCCTGCACATGTGGTATAATTCTGTGGATCATGGTGACAATAGAAAACATCTTATTTTTAGGCTTCAGATGGTTAACAAGGGAGAATACTCTGTATAGGATAACAGGTCAAAAAAAAAACAGATTTGGGGATCCATGGTTTTTTCTTTGAAAAATTTAAGGAAAATGTTTTCTCTCTTTGGTTGTAGCACCATGAAGGTAATCAGTTGATATTTAGTATTTTTAAATGTTCAGAGAAACATTTTCATTTTTAATAGCTTCTCTATAAGAAGGTAACATAAAAATCTTAAAAGTTCTGATGAATATGTCTTTACCAGCACACAGCACGTATAGCCCTCAGATTATTTTTTTCCAGATTGTTTATTAGTGCAGGTTAAAAAAATAATAAATTCTTTAAAAAATTAGCACTGGTAAATACCATATGGTATTTACTGTCTCGTACTGTAGGTGTTGACTCAGAAGCAGTATAGACATTTATGTTTCTCTCCTGAAATTTCTTGAAGGCCCATGATAGTAGAGACGTTATCTGATGTTCTTACTTCTTTCCCAGCAAGCGCCTAGCTCCCAGCAGGTTCTCAGTAACAATATGGAATTAACAGTTTGTACTCCTACATGCCTCCCCAGACTCTTAGGTACCTCAAATCATCAATTCCCCTCTCATTCTCCATCCTCTCTCTACTGGTTACTCATCCTTAGTAAAATGAACAGGTTGATTAAGGAAAACTCCTCTGCTCATCCAGGCCTGGCCACTTGTCCTGTCCTCTTGACTTTTCCTTCACAGCCAACTACAGGCCTGTGCATGTGTGTATTTTCCTAAGTCACTTCAGTCAAGTCTGACTCTTTGTGACCTTATGGACTGAAGCCTGGCAGGCTCCTTTGTCCATGTCCTCTGTCCTCTTGTCTCCAGGCGAGAATACTGGATCAAACCTGTGTCTCCTGCAGCTCCTGAGCTGCAGGCAGATTATTTATCGCTGAGCCACCCGGGAAGCCAATTACAGGCCTTCTTAGAGACAAAAGACCTGGAGTAGGTAGTTACTTTGGTCTCACAAAAGTCCTTATTATTCAGGAATGTAAAGCTTCCGCATCGCACCCAGGACCTGGGAGTGAAGTTATCCATAGCTCTGCTTGGGAACAGCTTTGAGCTCCACAAGTCCTGCCATCAGGTCTCTCCTCCAAACTGGTTTTGACTGAGGAACATTGCCAGGTGTTAGACCTGCTCGTTTTGAGTTCAGGACAAAACAGAAACGTGCAGTTATCCATGGGGTGGTGACTGGGTATCTTCTGTGTCTGAAGAATTGCTTGAATGCAGCAAAAAATAGCTTAATAAAGTCTCCCTGCTAAATAGGGAGATACTTTAATAAAGAGCACAAACTAGAATATACAAAATGAGAATTGAAAGAGAAACTTAGATGTCAACTCGGGCTTTATGCTGATTCCATGCCATGTGGTGATCCTTAATTCACACTGTACAGTCCCTTAAAGGAACTTCAAAACGGTGTTAAGGAGCAATTAATGTGTAATAAAGTGACACTTTATGATAAAGGATCAATATTTATCCTTACACCTGACTGAAAGTTTGTATCAGACTTATGTTTCATAGCAGTGATTTAACTAGAGCAAACATTTTTAAAAAACCAGGAAAGTGTGTTGCTCAGTTGCGTCTTAGTGACCCCATGGACTGTAGCCCACCAGGCTCCTCTGTCCATGGCATTCTCCAGGCAATATTGGAATGGGTAGCCATTCCCTTGTCCAGGGGATCATCCCACCCAGGGATCAAACCTGGGTCTCCATGATGTAAATGACAAAAACCTACCAGAATCTGATTTCTCCTTTCCTGCAGATGCAGCTAACACATGAAATGTGCCAGATTTTACCAACTAAAAGAATTTTCAGAAGGTAAAACTAGCAATATTAGAAAATGACTTTTAAGATAAACCATATAGCTTCCTTAATGTGAAACAGAAATCTCACCCAGAAAAAATATGAACTTCAAGGCACAACAATAAAAATGCTGCAAACCAAATACCATTATTTACACTTAAAATATTGATCTGAGGATGTAATTGTGTTCCACCTTTGCATATAAACAAAGATTCAATTCACCTGCTGACCCACAATGATTATACTAAAACATAATAATCCCAAAGTGGTCTGTAGACTGCTCTGGCAGGATTTGCTTTAATTTGAAATAACAACTTCCCAGTCAGAAAAGATCTCAGGACAAATATTTTAAATCTATCAAAGAACTCATTTGTAAAAAGTCTTATTACTGTACTACCTTTTTTAGGATATCACCAATTTTTGATGAGACACACATGAAAGACGTTCACGATACTATGGAAAGAATCAGGTATGCCGAGCCTAAACACAATGCATACATTGTCTCACTATGTGTATATATATGGTGTGTGTCCCCTTGAGTATAAGACACACTTTGGGTCTCTGGACATGAGCCCTTTAACACCAATACCTTCACCCGTAAAATGGGGAAAATATCCCTGAAGTCATTCCCCAGTATTACTGGATAGATATTAGCACTTTGTTTAAAAAGACCAATGCAAATTAAAAGCATTAAGCATTCTTATTCATTTTCTGTGCTTTTAATAACAAAAGCTCACAGAAGTGACAAATTCAAAAAGAGCAATAGCAGTAGCCTTTTCTGGCTATTTAACAGCTTAGAAATGATTTAAGAGAACTTTTTGCTATTCAACGGATATCCATTCATAGAGCTCTGGAAAAGTAATCTTTGAGAATAAGACTCTTCTTAGCAATAAAACCTCTCAACTTCCTAAGCCAATATATAATAATCCTAAAGGAAAATAATTATCTCTTTATCCTTTAAAGTTAAAACTTAGTTCTAACCATTTCCAATAAAATTCTCATTCCATATTCCATACCAGAAATGGCAGTTCCTTAAAACCCAAGTTTTAAACACTTGCTTTTCTGCCCATGAAAGTTATTATGTTTATACATTGTCAGTAAGACAGAAGATATCTTGGTGTAGAACATTTATTTATTTATTCCATGGAACACTCAAAGTTTAGATCAGTGGGAATTTTAATCAAAGAATTGTACATTTTCTTCCCACATATATCGCTTTGTATTAGGAAATGACATTGTGATCCATTTCACTACAATATTACAAAATATTTACAAGAAAATATTAAAAATAACTCAAACATGAACGGCAAGATGGGGGTGAAATAAACTGGTTTTTCCAGAAATCTCTACTCCAGTGCCCACAGCACACAAGAGAACCAAAACAAAGTTCCCCTTGATCACAAGTTTCCAAGGAATTGGAGTAGGGGAAGAAACCGGATGAAAATGGTGGTATGAAGGGGGATGGATGTTATTAGCAGCACTGCTTCAATAACCAATTTATTTTGCATGAAATAGCCTCTCTTTTATATGCAGTAAATTCTGAACAAGGCTAAACTTTAGGATATTCCTTGAACTGAAATTAAAAATACCCTGACAGTGAAAGCAATTCTTTCACCTAAGCTGAGTAAGAGCCTCTTTCTCCATGAACAACTGATGTGAACAGAAGCCTGATCTAGCATCCAAAGCTGTCACAGCAGCCCTTCCATCTCTTTCATGAAAGCCTCATAGACATCGTCCTTAGTCTGCACCGACACAGGAACAGATGGGCCAGATTTGGGTGCTGTTTTGGCAAGAGGCACAGCAGAATCATCCTCTGACTTTCTCTGGGGAGCAGCAGCAGCCCCTTTATTCTCTCGACGCACCCGCAGTGCGGTGGGCACGAATCGTGTGATCTCTGCCTTGGGATTAGTGATCTGTGGCTTGGCACTGATGGTTGCCGTAGCTTTCTTCTCGATGGTGGCTGCGCTTGTGTCATCCGCCTTAGGTCGCTGGATCAAGTTGGGGGGAGCACTCAGAACCCCCGGGTTGGGTAAGGGAGCTGGTGGGAAGAGCCCAGGTGGGGCAGGTCCAAGAGGAGGCACCAGAGGTGGGCGCATCATGCCAGGACGGGGTGGAGGGATACCTGGATGAAGGAGAACACAATAATAAAATGTAACTACTATTAAGGACTTTACAAACACAGGCTGACAATTTCTGGAAAAGGACAATTTGTAGAAAGTAAATTATACTGCCTAACTCAGGAATATATTTTGATAGTAAAGAATATTTTTCTGTAAAACAGTACTCACCTTCCATCTGTATCCCAATTCTTATGTTTTCCTCCTCTCTTAATAATGTACTACTTTAAACTACAAAGTAAAAGTAACACCACCAACTGTTTTCAAATATGATCTTAAGACAGCTGAATCTGTAATTTGACAACCTAAGATTTTATTCCATCTGTACAGTGCAGATGCGATCAAGCCAAGGTTGGGATTTTATTCCCATGCATTATTTACTGATTTACACAATACTTCTCCTCCTTAAAATGTAGCTGAATGGGCAGGAAATAAAATTTTAATGTTGGAATGAGAAAATCTGACTAATCATAAAATGTCATCATTACTAGAAAAGAATTCATGTCTTACTGATGGTTTGGACATACCATTATCATTTACCAGGAAGTGCAGATTAATTTTCTCCAAATACCCTCTTTAAGACTGAGAATAAAGTACCAAATTTCCTCAATCTAGGACACTATTGCTTATACAGACTCGTAATTATTCCATATACCACTGAGAGAGAAAAAAATGTCCAAGAACAAGCTGAGGAGCTTAAAAGGATACCTTCACATTAAATTGAGACAATCAATGTAGTAAACCAGAAATATACCTGCCACATGTAAGATCAAAAGGAAATTTACCTATCTAACCTTGACACTAGGTAGAGAGAATGGAAGAAAAAAAACTTCCCCTTGTGATTGTAAATTTAAAAATTGATACCCATGCAGATGTACAGAATGACTTCACAACTCTAAGTGTGGTCCTAAAAAAAAATCTTAAATAAACACTTTAATCCAAAGTGTTCTCTGGCAAGGAAAAGTCCCCTCTGTGACAGCATCCAATTCAAATACCACTGGTAAGAACTTCTACCTAAGCCAAAAGCAATTTAAAAACACCATTTTAAGATACTGCTTGATTTTAGGATACTGAAATGTGAAAATGTCTTAGGACAAATCAAATATATAGTAGACAGATTTTTGTCACAGAAAGCAAAGCTTCACCTGGAGGTGCTGGGGGAGGTAGCCGTGGTGGGGGTCCCCGAGGAGGAGGGCCAGGAGGCAGACCTGGAGGTGGGCCTGGAGGAGGGCCAGGCGGCCGGCCTGGTGGCGGGCCTGGAGGTAAAAGTCGGGGTAGAGGCCCTCGGAGCCCTGGCATTCCAGGTGGTCTCAGGAACGGAGGAGCTCCTGAAACGAGAAAAGTGCTTAGTTGACATCAAACAAATATATGTGAAGTAGTAATTGTGGTATAAGATAACTGAGATGTGGTTTCACTTTAACTTAACATCAAATAACTTCAAAATTTATTATGGTCCATTTCTCTTTATTTCCCAGTCCTAACATAAAGCATTTTAAACCACAGTTCTGCTGGGCTGGAGATATACAAAAATGACATTTCTTAAATGGCTCCAACATAAGCTGAAAAATGCAGAATGAAAAGCATGGTGCTTTAAGGATCCTCTGAAACTCATTAAGATATACAAAGACCACTGAGAATGTCATAGGATAGGTAATTTTGCTTTGCACTAGTCAGAAGAGAATGAACTCAACTGAAGACTTAACTGGCAGACTATCGGACTAAAAATCATAATTGGCCAGTAAGTTTTTTATGTTATTTCAAGTTGTAAATTAACTTATTATACTTTTAAGCTGAAGACCTGATTAATACTGATGACTTCAGTCTCTAACTATACAGATTACACTAACATCCAGTAACTCCCAACCAAAGAAGGATATGCAGTAGCATCTACTATGCTCTCGTCCTGTTCACAACCAAGAACTGGGTCAACTCGGCATACTGAAGAGTAATTCTAAACAACCCTCAGTTATATACTCTACTTTCTGCTCGCTAAACTGCTAATATAAGAACTGATAAACTCTGAAAAAGAAGAGCTCTGGAGAAAGAGACAGCTGTCACAAGTTCTGTGACTTGCGAACAGTGTTTTAGGAATGAGCAAGTTGTGCTTATCCTTGGAGAATCTTGATTTCTTAGAAAATTACACTAGCAGGAAACCAGAAATCATTACTACTAATGACGTCTACTTTCTGGAATACCTTCACTGTAACCACATTTAGGCTTATTTATTTATAGCATGTAAGTACTCACCTGGAGGTGGTCCAGGAGGAAGGCCTGTAGGTGGTCCAGGTGGCCGTAAAGGTGGAGCAGGTGGCGGTCCAAGCGGAGGTGGTCCTGGCATGGGGGGTGCTTGTATCTGAGACGGAGGAACTGACTGTGGAGGGGCTTGCTGCTGGGAAGCTGCAGACGTGCCATCAGAGAGAGACTCCTCCTTGTGCTGCTTCTGTGACTGCTTCTCTGCTTCGGAATCATCCGACTCTTCGTCGTCGTCCTCTGAAAACTCCTCGACTTCTCGGCCCTCCTCGGGGATTTCCTGCCCTGAAAGAAATTGGAAACCAGACAAACGGAGCAGATTCGTATTTTACAGCCTGTGAAATAGCAATGCCGCCTACAACACCTGCTCAATAAATGCTTTCTTAAAACTAACAACCAGTCTCCTTCAACAGAATACTCAAGATACACAAGAATACAGTAGTATTCTTCTCATCCATACTAGGGCAGCAGAGTGCAAGGAGTCCAAGTTTTAGAACAAGATAGACCAGACAGACCTGGACTTAAATGCCAGTCCAACTACTTACTGGCCGGCTAACTTTGGGCAGCTTACCTCAATGTCTCCAAACCTTGACTTTTGAAAAACAAGAATTTATTACTTGATTGCTGAGATATTAAATAGAAAAATGTATGTAAGGCAACTGGCAGGAGGAAATACCAATCACTGTTCATTCCATGCCTCACCTGCCATTCGAAGCATCATGGCTTGGAGAGGAGTCAGCTCCTTCATGTTCTTCTTCTTCTTCTTTCTAGATTTTCCAGGCATATCTGCAAACCGTACACTCAGACCTAAAGGATCAGAGAAGGGAAAGGATCAACAAAATTCAGTATATGTTTACTATAAACAAATACTCTAAACACTAGCTATAACTGCTTCCCACTACTTGGCAAAAAGACAGAGCTATATTAAAGACAGTAAATCAAATGCCCACTGGTGGTAAACATATGCTACAGTGATTTTAAAGTTGAAAGTGAAAGAGTTAAGTCACTCAGTCCTGTCCGACTCTTTGAGACCCCATGGACTGTATAGTCCACCAGGCTCCTCTGTCCATGGAATTCTCCAGACAAGAATACTAGAGTGGGTTACCATTTCCTTCTCCAGGGGATCTTCCCAACCCTGGGATTGAACCCAGGTCTCCTGCATTGCAGGAGAATTCTTTGACTGAGCCACCACTACTGAAAACTTTATGCCAATAAAACTGAACATGCCGATTAAAGTAATTGATAATTTTCTAGAAAAATGTTACTTACAACTGGCCAAAGGGGTGACAAGATCAGAAAATAGAAATTAAAATGGTAGTCAAAGATAAAAGTTCCTCAAAGGCACCTGGCCCAAATAACTTTACAAGGAAATTCAGCCAAATGTTAAGTTACAGCAATTTCCTATAAAAGGGCATAGGAAAAGATGGAGTGCTATCCAGAACTTGAAGCTAGCATAACCCACATACTAAAATAAACCTGCTGGCCAACATAAAACATAAGCAGATTGAATTCGACAGTGTTTTAAAAGAAAATAACTTCATACACATGGAGGGTTGGTCCCAGAAATGCAAAAATGATTTAACATTAGAAAAGCCATTATTGTAATTCATTACAATAAACAGCTTAAAGAAACAAAAATCATTAACAATATCCAAGAGATGATTAAAATGTATTTATGATAAAACCTCTTAGCAAACTTAGACTAGAAGGGAACTCCTTAACCTGACAAAGACTCTCTATCAGACACCTGAAGATGATAAATGGTGTAGTATTAGGAGCATTCTTATTCTTAGATGGTAAACATTTATAGGATAGAAGTTCTATGTAGGCAGGCTTTAGTTTCGTTTACTCTGCATCCTTAGTGTGTAGAAAAATGTTTTGTACATAGTAAAAACTCAATTATTAGCTGAATATCAAGTCATAGTTAGGATAACCATTTCCAACACATGTGCATCAATGAATATATTGACATTTGTATTCATCATCATTCAATATATAAAAAAATTAGTTGGTCCAAAAAGAGGAAAATGAGGCAAATGACCACAGTCTAGAGAAAAAGGGAACTGGTGTGGCTCTAGCGACTTTCTACTTTTCAGTACCACTTCTTACCTAAGTGTCCTCTACCATTTTTCACTACCAGTTCTATCTACCTCTTTAAACTAGCTTTCTGGTTTGCAACCATGATTTAAGGAATATCTGGAGAAAATTTTATCATTATCAATACTGTAATATCAGTAATATTACTAATACTGTTTTGAAGACTGCAAAACAATTACAAAAGAAGCTCCAAGGCTACTAGAATATGACAGTTGGTACATTTTCTAAATTTCCTTAATGAATGACATAGCTACTTTCTGAAAGTACATGTAGCTCAGTCTGAATTTATAATAAATATATAACATACATAATAAGTACGACGTTTCCATTAAATCATGACTCCACTCACAGGTTTACCTTTTCTTGTTCACTTAAGACTGCATGAACACAGAATAATATAAAGGACTTCAAACATAGATATGTAAACAGACTCATTAAAAAACAATCAGGTGAATATGGTTTTCTTCCTACACATAACCATGATAGGACATCCTTATGCATTTTCCCCAAAAGTGGACTTTACTATGTAGACTTTTTTAAAAATCACATACACAGCTCAGTTTTTTTTCCTCTCACAAACATCCACCAGGTACTTACTGTGTGTCAACAACGTTGAGACTCTGGAGCTACAAAGATGAATAGAGCACTGATCCTCCTTTCAAGGCACTCACAATTACTTTCATGGATCCATTAATAAATCAAGACCTTCAGCTTGTGTGCTTTTTATTACTTAATACCATGAAACTTTCATCTTCACATACCTGATTTTTTTTCTTCATTGTTTTCTCTCTCAGTGTCATCACGGTGTACAAATTCATCCCCTTCACTTTCTCCATCTGATCTGTCACTGTCGCTGTCATCAGTACTGTCGTCATGCTTATCCTGGTCCATGTCTTCAGGATAGCCATCATCTTCACTGGTGCTAGAAACATCATCGTCATGACCCCGCTGAGCTGGAAAGGGAAGAGGGAGCCAGGATCAAGTTACATAGCTGGATCCTATATGGTACCCCCAAATACAGAAAGCCAGGTTATTTGACTCAGAATAACTCGATTAAATTTTTTCTATATGAACTCAGCTATTCATATAGTCTGACAATATTTCCACTTGACAATAGTTTTAAATTCTCCTTTTTTATAATGTAAGATGTTTTTAAAGCTTTGAAGCTTTAAATTTCAATTTTGAAATTGAGAACAAATTCCACTCAGAAAGCTACATAAGGACATGCACATATACAATCATTGTAACTGTATACAAGGATGCTCTAGTCGAATGAAAATAAAGCTAAACGGGAAACAAGTACACAAGTGACCAATTTTTCAGGTACTGATGGTAAGAGTGTATCTTCAAGGAAAGTCTACTTTAAAATAGAACAGACATTTCTATAGTTCCTTATGCATGGTGTTTTCCTGAGTGGATCTATGATTTATCCATCTGTTGGTATGTACAGGGTAGCCTCATTTATTTCCCAAGTTCTGAGGGTGGTGAACAAGATGTTTTATACAGCCAAATTAAAAGTGACGGTGGAAAGGTTCTAAGAGCAAAAGGAATAGTCACTCCTTACCAAGTTCAGGACTATATAACATGTCTTCATCTCGCCTACGAGCGGGAAGATCTAGGGCAAAGCCCACTTTGCGGCCATACATTTGTAAGACTTGAGGAGGAGGTGGGCCCGGGGGAGGACCTGGAGGTTTCCTGCCAGGGGGCAAACGTGGAACGCCATGTCCAAGAAGAGGAAGTATAGAAACTGCCCGAGTTGGAGGTCTGTAAAGAAAATTTACAGCGATCACATTACCAGTAATGAGATACCCGCTTCCTCTTCTAAACAGTTTTTAAAGGAGCTCTCAGGTTCTATCTAACCAAAGAACTGCTTACATCCCCACTGTCCTTTACTTTCCACTGCAATAATATTGGCACAGGACAGTCAAGAGGTGCTTTTCCTTACCCATAGGCTGAGGTCTTCTTAAGGATGGAGGGTGGCTGGGCCCCAGGAAGTGGAATGTCCTGGATCAAGATGTTGGAAGGAGCATGCGGCATATCTGGCAGAGGAATACTCTCCACTTCCACATGCTGGGCATTCTGAAAGAGAGTGTCTTCTGGTCAGTAAGAGTAATTCCCCAACTCAACACCACAAACTCTACATCAGCTGTTTCATTATCTGGATTTGCTTTCCACCTAGCATTAAGTATCATGAGAAACAAAGCCAAGTCAACATTTTTAAGATTGTCAGTTGAAACCTCTGGATAGTATGTATTCAGTGGTAGCACTTGGACTCTAAAATTAGCCTGCTGCTGTTGAATTCCTGTCACATACAAGCTGTATGACAAAGTAAGTAACCTTAGCTTTCTTATCTGTAAAATGGGACCCATGCTACATACTTTACCAAATTAAATCATTTTTTAACAACATTTTTTTCTTGAGGCAAAATTTACAATAAAATGTACAAATTCAGTAAAATTTGACAAATGCATATAATTTCATACTCACTCGCAATCAATCCTTAACACCATCCCAAGGCTACTACTGATACAAATTTCTTCCTCCATAAATTAGTTTTGCCCGGTCTAGAATTTCATGTAAATAGAATCACAACCATGAAGAAAGGATAGTATGTTTTTGAGATTTAGCCATTAAAATTTTTACCTCATGTTTTTTGGATTATTAGCTGATCATTCCTTTTTATTACTGAGTAGCATTTAATTTTAGGAAAATGTAACAGTTTATCAGTTATCTCATTAATGGGTAGCTTGGCTGTTTCCACTCCAGCTATTACTGTAGTGGCAGGTAGATCAAGTTCTCTTGTATAAACACATAGGGTTAGATTTGCTGGCTAATGGGGTAGGTATATGTTTAGTCTGACAAGAGGAGGAGGTTCAACATCATCGAGTTTCCCATTATCAACTTTAAGAGTAAGTCTAACTATAAAATTTTAGTTTAGCTCTCAAAATAAATGTGATTACCTTGACAGCATCAAAATATTGGCTAAGTTGAGCCCTCTTCTGTTCATATTCTACTTCTAGCTTTCTCAATTCTTTGTAAATATCTGGATTCTCTTTCTCATAGAGTCGTAGAATACGTTCAAATGTTTCACGTAGCTTTTTACGCTTGTCTTTCAGCACTTTCTCATTTAACTGTGGCTGCTGCACTGGGTTAAACTCTGAGAGGAAAAAAAAGATTATGGCATTAAACACAAAGTCACTTCAACCGATTACATCATTTATTAAAAATACATTTACATGTTAAAACTTTTCAAAAAGGGATTTAGACACCAGATATATTCTTGTCAAAAAAGAACTTTACAGTTTATTGAAATTTCATCCCCTTAAGATGCCTATTAATTTTACTTCCTTTCCTAAGAAATGTCACCTAATTGACTTTACTTTTATTATCATTGTAATAAAAATCAATTTCATTCCTCTATGCTAACAACCTGATACAGCTGTTAGTATATTAACAACTATAGGCCTGGGCTTACATACTACACTGGGTCTGTCATTGAATTCTGAGATCCTGCGCACTTAAACTCTCTGATCTTCGTCTTCTTCATCTGGAAAATGGGGACATCAACTACTTCACAATCAAGCTCTGGTGATCAAATGAGACTTCAAACATAAACTGGTATCTGGCTCACCACTCAACTATTATTTTTATATGAGTGAGTGTTCCTTGTTGAGCTACTTAAACTTTTCTCTTCCGATGTGTTCAACATGGAGCTTAATTTGGTCTCCAAGAGGGACCAAAAGGGATTGGATTAGCTCAGGACTCCCAGGTCTGCCTGGTCAGCCATACCTGCCTCCCTCCATCTCCCTTTGCCAGTGACTGACTCAGAGATCAACCAGCACATGAGCCAAATTGGGAACAGATCCTTCTCTGAAACTTTAAATATGGAAAAGAAGCTATCACATGTAGGAATGAAATAAACCTAGAGCTGTCCATGGCCTCATCTCTCAACCATCACTAATTCCACCACATATTCCACCTTCTATCCAAGAAATTCACTGGCTGGATAGAATTTCTTCTATCTAAGAAATTCACTAGGTCAGACAGATGGACAGTCTTGCTCAAAATATTTGGGTTTTTGAGGCCTACTTCCCTCCAGGATTTCCCAATTATGGGAGTTAAGGAATACTTTTTTCTGTTTAAATTAGTTTGTATTGAGTTTTATGAATTATAATTAGAGCTCTGATGACTAGTGCTCCTTCCTCCTTTTTCTTAAAAGAATCACAAGCTTACTTACTGTCTTTCTTAAATCTTACTAACACTTTGATGATGTATTCAATATCAGAATCGTGGTCTCAAACCACACCATTCCTAGTGTGATTCATGAAAGTGCTAAGTGTTTAACTTTAAATCCCAGCTGTGCCCCTTCTGAACAGTGTAACCTTGAGAAAGGTAATGTCTCTGTGCCTAAGCTTCCTCAACTGTAAAGGAGGGACAATAAACCCACCCAAAAAGCTGTTGCGAAAGTGAAGATTAAATGAAAATGGGAGGGGTGGGGGGGAGGGAGAACCAACCCTGGCATGTAACAAGATAAAAGCTAAATAAACCTAAGTTATAAATACACAATTTGGGGTCATTTAATAGGTAAATATCCTGACATGTCAGGGAAAGCAATTGTCCCTACCAATATTTAGACTAGAGGCAACAAGTGGAGGGAGAACAACTGGGAGGGAGATGATGGAGTTTGACCCAGAACTCTTACCCAGGCTGGCTTCAGTATCTGCCACATTATTTGAGAAAGCTTTTAATACCACAACCCCACATAACTGGATGTTTTTGGAACCCCACTTAATGCATCACTGAGAAGTTTCACTGCACCTCTTTCACTTACTACCTGTTTTTCTTGGGCAAACCACGAAACCTGTATGGAAACCTTTGTAAACAAAACTTGTAAAGATTCTTTAAAAAAAAAAAATGCAGGGGACAGAAGGCAGAATTGGCAAAAACTTGACAGCTGAAAACTATGGAGTTAATTAGACTATTTCTGGATGTTTGAAAGCTACTAAAAAAAAGGAAAATTAAAAACCCAATGTTCTCAAGTTAACAGAATGGGTTGAATACAGAGTCCATTTTGTGACTCTCCTCTGTATTATTTAATAACGACCTAAAGTCACTTTAGGCCATTCTGGACTCCTACTTTTAATTAATTGTAATCTGTTAAAAATACTTCTGAAGACTTTTTGCCTTTCATACCTGTAAGTATAAAGTATATAAATAAGGAAATAAGGGTTAATTAAATATGTTATATGATCTTTGGGACTTGGTAAAACTGCATTCTATTCTGAAGAGCTTTTTAAACTAAAGGAACTTCTCTGTGAGTTAGAATAGAACTTCCAGTGGCAGCATCACAGATGATTCTCAAGCAACTCAGATACAAGAAAAGATAACATGCAGCTATTTCACATGGATTCCAGTAATGACAAAGCAGTGATACTGAAGATGCACGTGACGAGACTAGATAAAATTATCCTATATAATGCAAAAAAGGAAGAAAGTCTAATAGGATATTTTTTAAAATGTGATTTTAAGTATTTGATTTCCTCTATATCCTTACTAAGTAGTCATTTATCTTTGGATTGTCTATTGGAAAAGAGGGGCAACGGACACATTCATGGTGGCCCAATATTGAGATTTACATGGTAGGTGCCAATATTGAAACCCAAAACAAAAAAAGCCCAAGGTGATTTCAAAAAGCACTTAGTCTTCTCTTAAAAAAATGAACTGGCCAAACTGGGCTTTTATTATCTTATAAAGAACAATTAGCTAAAGCTAAATAACGGCTTCCCTCTTATTCTAGATGATGTTTGAAGTTGGTAACATCCCTTCAACTCCATTCTGTTTTTCTAATGCTAAAACTAAATCCAAGCAAAATCCAAGCATCGCATGCTGTCATGCTTTCTGTATTTCTGTATCTGTAATTCTTGCATCTGTTCTGCTTCACTCATTAACTGCCTGTCTCTATGTATCAGACTATTATCTCTGCTATAAAATCCATCCCTTTACAAAATCTTACCCATTTCATCCAATTTTTCCATGTCCCGGATAATTTGTTTGGGATCCTTCATCTTTAAAACTGCAGCTCGTACCATCATGCGCTGTTTTTTGTTCTTAAAAAAAAGAAAAAAGAGCACAATCTGCAGAAGCTGAATATTCCCGAGTTTTCACTTCAATGTGTCTCAAAAATCCATTTAAACTGAAGCTGAACTTCTTGGTTTCTGATCACTTGTTTCAACCACTGGAAACAGGAGTAATATCATTTTTTTATTCCCCCAAATGTTTCCAGTTTAGACAAAAAGATGTTAAGTTTTGCAAAATTTAATGCTAGCAATGAAATAAGAATGAACAGCTGAAAACTACTGAAAAACTAGGTTCTCTCAGTTTGTTAAGGCATGACACTAAAATGCAAATCCTTTTTTATTTTGGGGACACTTTTCCACAAATTCACAAAATCATCATCAGGAAAATTTAGTGTCACATTTACTTCCATTCACTAATTCAGTAGCTTCCAACAAAGCAGTTAAATGGCAAGAGAAGCGTTTCTTAAAGTATTTCTTTAAGTCACTGAGAATGGTAATCAAATAAAAATGTTATAATAACTCATCATGAACTTATCTACAAACTTAGTTCAGTTTCCCAGCACTGTGGCTTAGTAAATCTTACGGTTTGTATGAGAAGCATAAAGTATCTTTTCTGGCAAATAACTGGAAATGTTTCTAAATCCACTCATCTCAAATAAGAGGGGTCAAATTACACTTATGTCTAATAGGATGCTTCTGGAATCATACCTTCTTTAATTCTCTTTTCCGAGCTTCTTTTCCTTAAGAGAGGGAGAGAATATAAAACTTAAATCCTTGAACATTAGCATTTTCTCCAATTTAATACAAGTAATTTTTTACTGTCAGAGGTTGCTCTGTGAGCTGTAGGATATTTAACACCATTCCTTGCCTCCACTAGATACCAATAGCACCCTTCTAATTATGCCAACCAAAACTGCCTCAAGACATTTTTAAGTTCCTTAAAAAAATAACGATGAATCTGAAAAGACGCCATAAAGTACTAAAAAGGCACTTACAAAGCAATTTGTTAAAAATGCCACATACAAAAAAGAAGGCTTTAAGCTAATTCTACTTTGCAAGTCAATCAAATTAAAAATATGGGTGCTACCTTTTGTTGCATGTTTAAAGTTTTAATCACGTGCCCACTAGAACAGTAGATAACTTTAATTAACAAATACTACAGATCTTGTAATTAATAAAATAATAAAATAGACTCCCTGAGGCAATTTTTACCACCCTTCTTCTTCACATGCCACGTTAATAGACACTTACTGGCTTGGTCTGTAGGGTTCATAAATTTTCCACTTTTGGTGGATGACGTGGATCTCCGCCCCATGCTGACAAGTTGTTTGATTTACTCGTTTGTTTAAAAAATAAAACCTAAAACCTGAGAAGACAAAAAGGCTTATTTTTCCTTAATTTACAAGATTTCTTCCTTTTTATATTTATAAACTTTTCTTCCTGACCATCTCTGAAAAGAAACTTTGATTATTAAGACCTTGTTCTTTCCCTAGTTTTAATGCCCAGGAAAAACAGCTTCAACTTCTCCAACCACAAACAATTAGATTCCTATTATTTATAAAGGTAATGAGTATGAAGATTACTACAAGATTACTACTATCATTAACTCATCAATTAACTTTCTTTTATGGATCACAGCACTGACCCATCAATTGGAAAAAATCAATCATCAAAGAATGTTTCAGCAATATGACACACACTATGTACATGAGAGGTCATTTGTTCTTTTCTTATATTCTCCCTTTATTTGTATGTAGGATGAAAAAGGAGTAAAAGGGAAATGAGGGTAATGATCTGGGCTCAAGGACAAATAGCTCACCCTTGTCTTTCTCCATGGTTTCTTGGCATGTATTCTCATCACCACTAAGACAGTAAAAACTCATCAATTTAAGCCTGTTTATTTAGATTTAGTTCCAATTCAGATATAATTCTTGACTCTTAAGCAGAAACTTAAAAACATAAAACCACAAATAGTCAAAATATTATACGAGCTTGTATAAAAATCAAGATACAAATTTTTCTTACTAATGTCTACTTGACTTCCGACTTGTATTTTTTAAGGTAACTGAAAGGAGTAATTGTGTATGAGGGAAAGTATTTTGTAAGTCAAAACTTCAATTCACCTAAGAAATTATTATGGGTTTCCCAGGAGGCGCAGTGGTAAAGAAAGAGCCTGCCAGTGCAGGAGATGCAAGAGACTTGGGTTCCATCTCTGGGTGAAGCAGATCCCCAGAGGAGGAAATGGCAACCCACTCCAATATTATTGCCTGAAAAATTACCGGGACAGAGGGGCCTGGCGGGGTACAGTCCATGGGGTCGCAAAGAGTTGGACAAGACTGAGCAAACATGCAGGAAGACACTATCATAATCATCTCTTCAGTTATTCCAAATGGATGACAACTTTCTGATACTTTGCTCTTTCCAATAAGAAAGAGTAATAAATTTCCTTCCCTTTGAAAGCAGACACTTTTAAAAGGAGGTAAAGGGAAGATCATGAGGTAGATTTTTTAAACGGACCATAGAATTATACCTTCCCTTCACGAAGGTTTTGTCAGGCAAGTTTATTAGTTAAGACGTCTTCCAGAGAGTGTCCAACTGCATTGATTTCTGCTAAACGCTTCAAAGCTGTTCCAGTCGCAACTAATTTACCCTGTTAAGGGTTTGCTTCTCAGAAACACTGGAATTGGGGAAGAAAGGAAGCGAAAACAAGCAAAATTAGCACAAATACAAGCACTCACATCTTTGATGGCCTGTATCTTTTTTGTTTCCCTCTCTCAATTACCCTCAGGCTCATTTTTTTTTTAACCCTCTTCTCCCACAAATGAAACCTAGGATAGTTACAGAGGACACTAGAGCCTTAGTCTGCACAAACTACTTGTTTTGTCTAAACCCGGAGGAGATGGGTAAATCGGGTCACGAATCGTTTAGGGTAACTTTCAACAGTCAAAGAGGCTCCCAAGGGATGGAGCCCAAGTCCAGCAAAGGAGCCAACAGCATTTGCAACTGCCGAAACCATAGCGACGGTTGATCCCCCACTCGAGGTAGCAGCAAGCCTAAGGCAACCAACCGGTCAGCGTCAGGAGGAGGCACTGACCGACCCAGCCGAAGACAGCCGCTTAACCGCTGAACGAAGCGCCGCCCAAAGAGACCCCCTAGTCCGCGATCGGGGAGACCCCAACCGCGGAGAAGAAGAGCGGGACTGAGGGGCCTGGCGTTCCCGAGGCAACCGCGCGGCCCGGCGAAGAGACGGGAAAGGTGAAGTAACGGAGTGGAACGGTCCCGCACACTCACGCTTCTGCTGGACTCCTGGGGCTGTGAGAAGCGGGGAGGGGACGATTCTCGGCCCGTTTGACTTCGTAGGGGCCTTCACCTCGGCCTTTCGGTCAACCACCCAACCACCGCCATCTTGAAACCTCGCGCCCCTCCGCCATCCCTCCGTCACTTCCGGCCCGAAGATCTCCGCGTTTCTTCGCCCTGGAACCATAGAGAGTAACCGAGAGCTGCAGGACCAGAGTCTCTTCCGCCCCAATACAGAACCGAATTGGTTGGTTATCGGCTAAGAGCCCGCCTCCACCACTCAGTCCAACGGTTTCATGTTGACTGACATTTATCTAGCCCAATAAGAGTGTGAAAATGAAGCGGGTGGGCTATATGTTTGGCTGAGGAGCCTTCTGTTCTACCTCTCGGGCCACAGGCATTCTGACCTGACATCCGAGAGTGGCTGTTGTTACAGTCCGATTCCAGCTAGGGACCTGTTTAGCGCTATTTGTGTCACCTGGAATTGTGTTTCTGTAGATTTTTTTCGCGTTTATGACGTAAGCGCATGAAATCTTTGGGGAGTTTCTGTTTGAAAAGGCATCCCGGAATAACGCTTGCTGCCGTGCTTCATGCATTAGCTAGCTTGGTTTGCTCCCGGAAGTTGATATTTTTCCACAGAACATTTGTAGACCTGAGGAAATCAGTGTAAATGTTAGAGTCCCAGATTGCTAATCTGCAGGATTCGTTTTTTGAAGAGGAAATGTGAGGACACACGTATAGTCAGTTTTAAGTTTGCGAGAGGTGAGGTTGGTTTACATTGTGTCTTTTTACCTACCGGTCTTTCCACTCACAAAATGTCCTTTATGACGTCACCGAACAAAGGGGTGTGTTCCCTTAGGTCTAATCTTCGTCCTTTCCTTCTCTTTTGTATGCTCTTTATCTAAGACTCCTCCCATATCTTTTCCCCTTAAAGGTGAGTTTAAACATTCAGAAATAGTATCTCTTACCGGAAAGTATGTTAGAAATGGGCTTCCCTCATAGCTCGGTAAAGAATCTGCCTGCAATGCAGGAGACCCCGGTTGGATTCCTGGGTGGGGAAGATCCTCTGGAGAAGGAAATGCAACCCACTCCAGTATTCTTGCCTGGAGAATCCCATGGACAGAGGAGTAGCCTGACAGGCTACAGTCCGTGGAGTCGCAAGAGTCGGACGCAAATTAGCAACTAAAGAGAGAGAGATGTTAGATAGAGGTCAATTCTTACTATCAGTTATAAATATTCCAAGATCTTGACGGAGATACATACTAGTTTTTTTAGAGAATATTTAAAAGTGCGCTTAACCTGTAGGATTGGTCCCTTACCGAAAGCTTTTGTTTTACAAGATTATTGATATGGTTTTTGGCTGAATTCCGAGTCTCACAAGAGCAGTACGTTTTTAAGTTTCAGAATCAGATAATAAATGCAAAATAAAGATTTTGAAGGTGAACTAAATTGTGATGTTTTGCAACTAATTTATCGAAGCAGTGTCAAAAGGGAAAGAAAATGAAGACTAACTTTGAAAAGTTATAGTGTTTCATCTAGATTTTTGAGATACGTTGTGCTTTTAAAATGTCAAGACGTTTCTTTTAATTGGATGCAAGAATCAACTGTAACGAACATTCTTGCAGGAATAACTTTTAAAATAATTTTGTAAGTAGAACCCACAAGTCTCAATGGGGAGTTACTGGTTGTTGAAGGATTTAGAAAATAAACACTTGCTTCAGAAATTCAGCTGACCCGCTAGGCCTCTATAGCCTTGGGATTTTTCTGAAATTAGGTAATTAATGTAATGGATCTCCTGAGTTTTTTATATAGCAGGGAAAGCTGCCTCCTTTTTGCTAGTATTGAAAATGAAATTTAGTTTTTCTTAAAACTCATAAAGTAATAAATTACAGCTTTCGTATAAACAATAAATTCTTAAAAGAGTAGCAAGTGCCTCTGCTACATTTAAATGCATTATATATATATATATATGTATATGTGAGATTTGCTTATTTTAAAAATGTTCCAAAGTGTCTAGACATTCACTTGAAAATTTAATCATCACACCACAGTTGGTCAGGATTGATTGCAATTATAGCAATAATTTTTATTTTTTATATTTTAACTTTTATCTCTTAACAGTCAATCTGAATTACAGATTAGTAATTAGTAGAACTTTCCAGAACAGTTGCCTCCTTTTGAAGTAAATTGTTACAAACCAAATTTCAGTCTCTTCCAATTTAGGGCAAATTGCATTTAAATTGATGGTCACAATTACTGTAGTCTTTTTGTTCAATTCTAAGGCTCAGCTTTCATGTGGGGGCAGAAGTTACTATGTCCCTTAGAACTAAAAATGATGTCTGAAGCTAGGGATAGTCTCTTCATTCAATGCAAATTTTGAAGATTTTGACTGGAGATTGGAAAAGGTCACTCCTACACGCTGCTCTGCAATAGCATTCACCCTAATATTGATCTGTAGAGCACAGTGAGAGGACATCCCAGGATGCAGTCTTTCACTTAACAGGTCTAGCACCAGCTGATCCAGACATTCATTGTTGATAGAAAACTCTAGAGTCATCTAGTTGTAGCATTTCTGAATTCTCAGAGTTGTTTACTGTATTTATATCTTGTTGGAAGCTTATGGAAAATGAACCTAATCAGAGAAGCAAAACACCATTATGGAGAGAAAAGCAGAGAAATATTCTGGTGGCAAATAAAGTAACTTTATTTCATTTGATGTTTCACTGTGTTGGTGACCTCAGTAATGGCATGATGATATTTTTCTGAAGCTGACTTGAATTCTACCAGATGCTTCTCGTAACTTTTGATGGCTGCTTGAAGCTGTGTTTTCTCCACTGCTCCCAGGATGGCACGGAAGATCATATCTATCCCAAGGCCAAGAACAGCGACTCCTATGCTACCAAGGAGAGATGCACCAATCTGAGCTAGCACAGTGACCAACTTGTTAATTATGCCAGTTGTGATATTTGAGCCCACAAGTTTAACAGCCACTGCACTGGCAGCAGAAGTAGCTTCTCCCAGGATGACTGAAATAACCTTCTGTACTATCGCAATTTTCTCGGTTTCTCTTTCCTTAATATCCTGAAGTTTTCTATAAAGAGTTGGCTCTAGTTTATCTTTTAGTGCTTCATCCACCTTTTGCAATTCTTTTTGGATATTCATCATGGATTGGATGATGATATCACAGTTTTCTTTGATGGTCCCATCTCTTTTCATTTCAATGGAAGGTAACGTACATCCTAAGTGTGTGTTTAAAACCCCAATCAGCTTATTGGTGGCATGGAAGCTGTCAGATAAGCAGTCAAGGAGCTCCTGGTGAAGACGGTTTACTTCTTGTCGCCTTTTTGGGTTCTCTGGGTAGAGGAAGTCACTTTGAGCCATATTTCAAATATGGTCTCTGAAAAATACAATAGGAAATCTTTACTAAAAATCTTGAAAAATATCTGCTGGTTGCATAGATTTGACCAGAAACTCTTTTACTATATGGATAAAAAAGTACTATGCTACCTAAGGAATTTCTCAGAAAACTCAACATGTTCTTCAAAATCATTTTTTGAAATGTGAAGTCACTATGAAAATACAGGTAACATAGTATAACCCATGGATGTGTTAATTATGGCATTAGATCTTGTGATGGAGAGAATCCTAGATAGTATAGATTTGTGTTTGTCTAACATGATTATGGAGAAGGCAATGGCACCCCACTCCAGTGTTCTTGCCTGGAGAATCCCAGGGACAGGGGAGCCTGGTGGGCTGCCATCTACAGGGTCGCACAGAGTTGGACACGACTGAAGTGACTTAGCAGCAGCAGCAACATCTGATTATTAATAGATGTGATTATTTCCAAGTAATATTTAATAATGTATTTGAAATGGTTAGCTCTTGATTACCAGTGCTTCTTAATTTCCTCAACCTATAGTCACCACTTTGAATAGACCTACCAAATTGATTTTTTCTAATATTTGAAATTAGTAGGGTTAGAAGAATATTAAGATCTCTGACTTTACAGGGCAATAGCTAATTTTATTTATGCACTCATCTTTTATTTGAGTGGTTATTCTATTCACATGGTTTTAAAAGTATATAGTGTATATAGTATATGTAGTTTAAAGTATAACATATGCTCTGTTATTTTAAAATATTAAAAAAGAAATCAAAACACTTTATATCTTTACAGGCAAACTGTTTGCACTCCAAAACCTAAGAAGCATCCAGAGGCAACATATACAACAATAGAATATTTACAAAAAGATTCTCATGATTAAAGTATATTTGCAAGATTGCTTCAAGTCTCACTTGGAGAGGCAGTCATGCTGATGGAAGGAACAGGGCAGTTATGAATATCTCTCTGGTTCACTATTTGCAAAGCTTGTAAGTTAAATTCTTTAGAATTGTCTTTACTGCTCTTGGCCATTATTCAGATAAGCTAGAGTTGGCCTCAGAAAGAAGATAATGCCATTCCAGGAAGGTGTGAAGGAATAAGTAGCAAGAATCCACCATAGAGGGGAAAAAAGAGTACACCATAGAATGAATAAGCCTGATGTTTATATCCTGCTTGTGTTTGTACTTTTGGCTCAGAGAAAGGAGGAAAAAGTGACACTGCTCTGAGTGAATGTGGGTGAAAGTTTGGACCCAGTGAGAACACTGTTCCTCCATATGCGCACTTAGAGTAGTCTTTCTATGTACCTGACACTGCTTTTTTTGTTTGAACTCTGGGGAGAGAAGAATAAGAAAATGGAGTCCTTTTTACCTGTGTAGGATCTGGCATATTCTCATTGAGAAAACAACATCCTAATTAATTGGGGCCCTGTCTTTCTACCACCATGGTTTTGGATATTTATAGTGTATTTATAGTATATTTATGGTATTTCTAGGCTTGGATATTGGGAACCTTGGAAACATGGGATGAAGGAATGAAGATATTTTCTGTCAGGAAAGTAAACATGAATATAACCTATCCTCCATGTTAGAAGGATACAATATGGAAATGGAAATGGGAAATTTTTGGGAAAAAAAAAACAGATTAGGAACATCATTATTTTTGCTCTTAGTTTTAGAAAAATGCACTAGTACCCCTGATGGAGTAAATTGTATCATGGTCAGAAATTCATTTTTATCTTTGATTTAGATATAGTACACACACACACACACACACACCCCCAAACACACCAGACACAAATGTCCACAAATCAGTAAATAGAAAATATCTTAATTCTGTTTATTTATTTATTTTTTTTTAATTTAATCATTTCTCTATTTTTTAATATTTCTATTGTTCCTAATTTCTTTTTTTTTTAAATTTATTTATTTATTTATTTTTTATCACAACCATAGTGTATCTATTTTTTTTTTTTTTACATGAATTCCCCATCCCGGTCCCCCCTCCCACCTCCCTCTCCACCCAATCCCTCTGGGTCTTCCCAGTGCACCAGGCCCGAGCACTTGTCTCATGCCCCCAACCTGGGCTCTTAATTCTGTTTAAAGAAATTGTCAAGTGAGTGAAGTGAGTGAAAGTCACTCAGCTGTGTCCGACTCTTTGTGACCCCATGGATTATATAGTCCATGAAGTCCTCCAGGCCAGAATAGTGGAGTGGGTAGCCATTCCTTCTCCAGGGGATCGTCCCAACCCAGGGATTGAACCCAGGTCTCCCACATTGCAGGCGTATTCGTTACCAGCTGAAACACAAGGGACTATTAAATATTCCCCAAACTCACTATTAGGTTGCAAACTGCAGTTTGCTAATCACAAACTATTACTTTGATTTTGCTTTTTTTCTCCTAGAAATTTTACATTAAACCTTTTTGTTGTTGTTCCTAGTATTCAGATCTTATCATGAAATGAAAACTCCAGTTTCTGGCTCTGAGTTCTGAAGATCACAGACTACATCCCCATTCAGAAATTTAAGTGAGAAGTCTTTCATACCCTGAACAAGTGAAAAATTTCTCTAAGAGCTATCATATGTGATTATTTGAAGGCATAACTTTTAGAAAAGTTGTGTGGTTCTATTTACCTGAAGATAAAGAAGAGATAAACTTCCCCTTTGATAAGAGGTTAAATGCTTCCAGCTGGTCAGTTGCTTTTCAATTGTTTTAACACAGGTTGACAAATTAATCATAAAGTACATTTGAAAGACTAGACTTTTCCTTTCCTAAACATTGAAGCACCTTAAACACAGTATGAACCAGTGTTGTACCAGGTGCAAGAGTAGATGGAATTATGGAGCAAAATAGTCCCCAGAGGAGACCCTGATATATGTTTGATTTAATATATAATGTATGTAGACACTCAAATCAGTAATAATTGAAATTAGTATTCCATAAATGATTCTGGAGTATTAAAAAATTTTAATGTTATCAGTGTAAAATTTTAAATGTTATCAGTATAGTACATGTAAAAAAAAAGTGATACAATAGCTAGAATAAAATAGATAATTTTTAAATTTCTGTATGGAGGGCTTCATAAGCTTAAAACCAGTGGGAATAAGTCACACAAACTTTAACAATGATGACCATGTAAAAAGAACTAAAACTAGTTAAAATGGAGGAAAAATGAAAAAATATTGATTTCTAAAGTTTGGCTGTTAATAAGGGAAGCAGTAATAATCTCATAGCTAAACACACTTTGAACAGACAGTAAAAGAAGAAATAGTAATAACTAATTGATGAAAGGTTCAGTCTTACCATATATCAGACACACTGTGTTTTCATCTGCAAAAGTAATGTTTTCTTTCGTCTGCATACTAAAAACCCTTGGGCATTCACTTTTATAGTCTTTTTCCTGGGTTCCAGATATCCATAATTTTGTGCCAATAACAAGTCTGAGTAAGAAACATCATGATGTGCTCAGAATTATTTTTTACATATAATAAAGAAAGACTTTTATTGTCTTGAGTCAGGCTTACCTTCCTTTTTTTCACTTGGGGAAGGGGACTTGACAGTTTCTTTCTGCAGAGAGATCTTCAGCAGGCCTGCCACTATACTTGCCCCAGTACTGAATACAGTTTAAAATTATTTCTATCCTGACAGTGAGATAAACACTAGAGAACTAGGTGGAGGAGAGGTGGCTTTTGAAGGTGAAACCAAGGATTATGTTTTGGGCAGGTGAAACTTGAAGAGCCCAATGAAGGAAGTAATTTAATAATGCAGTAGCAATTTATCTAATGGATAGTAGTACTTTACTATTATAAGGTAGTATGCTAGGCTCTATAGAGCCTACAGAAATGAAGTAGATACGGTCCCTGCTTTTATAGAATTCCTAATGTAGGTAGGAAGTTAAGACGTTTAAGACTGCAGTGTCCAGCTGAAGGCAGTATATCGTACCAAATTATAGATAGAGGTGGTGCATGCCTTCTGCAAACTCATTTAAAAGAACTCACACTTTGAAGTAAGATACATCATATGGTATCACTTATAAATGGGAATCTAAAAAAAATGGTGTATGTGAACTTATTTACAAAACAGAAGCAGAGTCACAGATGCAGAAGATAATCTTATAGTTACCTGGGGTAAAGGGAGGGGAGGGATAAACTGGGAGGTTGGAACTGACATACATACACTACTGTATATAAACCAGATGAGTAATAAGCATATGCTCTATCTTACAGGGAACTCTACCCCACATTATGTAATGACCTGTGTGGGAAAAGAATCTAAAAAAGAGTGGAGATACTTATAACTGATTCACTTTTCTGTACAGCAGAACCAACACGACATTGTAAAAAAAGAAGAAAGTGAAGTCGCTCAGTCGTGTCTGACTCTGCGACCCCATGGATTGTGCCCTACCAGGCTCCTCAGTCCATGGAATTTTCCAGGCAAGAGTACTGGAGTGTGGGTTGCCATTTCCTTCTCCAACATTGTAGATCAGGTTTATTCCAATAAAAATTTAAAAAACAAAAAAAACCTCACGCTTTAATAATATTGACCCTGGGGCCATGTGGAGACATCCAGTTATCTAGGGAAATGATTTGTACCTTTTCAAACTGATGCTGTTAGGTACATGCTTGATATTTAAAGAACAGGTTATACACCATTTGGAGAAGGAAATGGCAACCCACTCCAGTACTCTTGCCTGGAAAACCCCATGGACGGAGAAGCCTGGTAGACTACAGTCCATGGGATCGCAAAGAGTCGGACACGACTGAGCGACTTCACTTTTTATACACCACTTGAAAAATCTTAGTTGGCAATGGGCAGCATTTGCACTATTGCCCATGACAATTTAGCTCTGACACTTGAATTGCTCCCTTCCCTCAGCAAAACGAAAAAGATCTGCCATCAGTTGGAGTCACCTTTCTTAAAGATCACAGTTGTTACTCAGGCATGCCTCAAGTGATATCTTACCAACAATATGTAGTACTGTACCCAAGAGGAATTCTGGGCTG